ATATATATATATATATATATCTAAACAATAATATTTTTAAAAATAGTTTTGTCAATTTGATAAATTCAACGGCTTCAAGAATTGAAGTGCCTAACGATGTAAGTGTATAGAGCGATACTCCTTTGGTGAGAAACTTGTATTATCCCGCGATGTCTTTGAAAACTGCAGTTTAAATACTTTTTGCTGCTTCTTACGCGCTGGTTTTTAATTGCTGAAATAAACATACAGTAGCATGTTCATGAGCGCTTCTTCGTCCAATGACTCAAGTCAAGTCAAATTGGAGCATCGAATATCGAATGAAAACGGATTGAAATTTGATTGCTGTTCTACTGTTACTGTTGCGGGGGAATGGAAACCAATAGTAAACACCATAAATTTTTTTTTTTCGAATTTTCTCAGACAGGAGACAGACAAGTCAGACGATGCCTCAGGTGACACGTGCGCGACCATTAAAAACAAGGGAAATCGGATCTCAGCTAATGCTTCTCTTTCTGGCAATGTGATGCAAAGCAGAATAGCCGGCTGCCTTTAATTTGCACTTGTTCAAGTCCAAGTTCAAATCTGCAGTTTTTTTTTTTTTTTCTCTGTGAAACAAAATTAAACAAACCTGCTGAAAATCAGAACCACTAAACATTGAAAGAAAAGAAAGGAAAAAAAAAACAGGAAATTTCCGCCAGCGAAATCCTTTATTTGGTGATCTTACTTATTTTCCTGCTGCCAGATGATATTTCGCCTGTGGAAAATTTTTTTAAATTATGGAATAAATTACAGGCGTTTGTATGAATTAATACGAAGTAAAGGTGCTGTTCACAAACAAACAAAGGTCGGTAAATATAAACAATTTCAAATCGTAATTTTTCTGTACGTACGATTTGCAATGACCTTTAAATAAGTGCTATTAGGACTACGGTGCCTCTTGTCTTGGGGATGTCTCCGAGACACGAGGCGAAAAAAAAAGAAAAACTTTCCAGGAGACTTGCACAAACATTAAAAGGGGAAACAAAATTTCGCCTTAAGGGACCTTCACCTTGTAACAGTATCACCGAGAAAAATATTGACTGGCAAATGAATTTTCGCTTCCCTAAACCCTATCAGAAGAGATTAATACCTAATTTCTCCCTACAACATCCAGACGTCGTCCATGCACAGGTGATGAGAATACTTCAACTTATCAGGTAGCTAGAGGTTATCTTCAACTGACACAAAATTCTCGTAACCGATACATTTATTGAGTTGCTCTCGTGAAGAACAAGTTCTTACAAATTTGCAGTTTTGAAGCACTCTTTCAGTTCAAACGTTTATGTTCTATCAGGGCTTGAGATCACGTCACATCAGTGTTCCCGCGCGAAGCACAATGCAGCTATGCTCAATTTTCAATGACAATCCCAGTAGAAGAATGCAGCTAAGGTGAACGTTAGATCATCATACACAGGGTTGTTTAGATGTGCATTCAATAACCAATACTGCAGGAGATAACTTGATCAGTGAGTGTGTTGTTTTGAACTTTATGACGAGAAGGGCTTTGAGTTTTATGGTTTGACAGTTTCGGTCATTTTTTTTTTTTTTGGATCAGTTTTCGCTCTCTCCACAAAACCATTTTTTCAAATGTGGTTTCAACTTCTATTTTCAGTCTTCTCTTTTTAGACATGGCTCAGTCATTGCGGTTTTTTGGTTCAAGTCAATCGTCTGTCTGGCGCCACGAACTCACAATTTTCACTGACCCCGATCTGAATCATTATTCTCCGCGGTTTTTCGGTTTGGAGAGATTTGACTTTGTAGGAAATTTTTGCTAGTTTTCCAGTTTCTGATGCCCTTCACAGATAACCAGAGATAAGGAAAACAGATGTGTTAAAAGAAAACACACAACAACAGCAAACGATAACTGGACGATAGTATTTGTCGTGTTTTATTTTGAGGAATTGTATGCTTCTGAGAAGACGCCAGCTTCCTCTGTCTTAGTCACTCTCCTTGGGGGATTTTATGTAAATACCAGAGACAAAGACATCTCGCGTGAACATAACACTTAAACTACAACGAGAATCTCATTCCGCTCACATGAAACCCAACATATGACCACTGATGGCGATTTGCTAACCTTTTCACGCCCAAGATCTGATTGCTAATTCTCCCCTCTAGAGGCTACCCCTTTCCTTATAAATTAGTTCTGATAATTTGATGTTAGAACTAGATAACAACTTCTACCTGATAACTATAGATATCAGAAGGAGAACTTACATATTAATCACTTCGGGAAGATAAAGGTAAGAAACACTTACCTTAACAATAACTAACAACCTTTAGTTTTACAATTGAACAATAACTAAGCTACTCTTATTTCTCCAAATTCATTTAAAACCGGAACAAGTCTAGAGATTTAAAGTCTTTCTTCTTTCTTTTTCCTAAATCTTTTCTCTAGTAGTAGGGGCAGGATAAACCAACACACCACATTCACCATCCGTATTTGAACTTGAAGTTTAACTTGAGTAAATATTTGATATTAATTTGACCAACATCGTACACGATATATCTAACCTTAGGTTAAGGATCGTAACACGGACATCGTAATAAAGAATGTGTACCATCTTTCATCACGAAGAGGCTCGGGACAAGATGAACCACTTAGACTGTACTTGAAATTTTACTTTTCCCAAACTTCTTTTAAAGATGTAAATTTTCCCTGACTCAAAGTGAAATTCCTTGGCATTTCATTTGGATATATCAACAAAGTTGAAACGGTAAATTGGCCACCGTAACGATTACATAAGCTGACGTTTCGAAAAGCTAACGCTAACGCTCGAAAAGCTAACGCTCGAAACGTCAGCTTTTGTAATCGTTACGGTGGCCAATTTATCATTTCAACTTTGTTGATATATCCAAATTATTTCGTTACTCCCACCGATGCAGCCCCAAACAGTTTCTTTCGAAACTATCAGCCTTTATCCTTGACATTTCCCTGACCTTAAGAGTCTTACTTTCCCTGACTTTTTCCCGATTTATGGCAACCACGAGCTATTTTTAATCGAGTGTTAAAGGTAAACGTGGATTGCGTTGGTACAGATAACTTGTGCCATACCCTCAACCAATCACATGCAAATGTGAAAACCAAAGGCAACTCTTGGTCACCCACGTTTTCCCGCGCTTTAGGCAGTTTGGGTATTTTTCCGTTGGCTTCTCTTTTCCATGCGCGGCAATGTTTTTCTTTTGTTCTCATTGGCTGTTGTGATTATTTTGGTTTTGGCTTCACGTTACTCACTCCAAACAGCTCTCCTTCAAATGCTCACCTTGGAAATAAAAGGATACTCATTGTAGAGGAGGCTGGAATTGGTAGCATTTGTGTTACATCCCTGACCAACTGGAACAATCGTGCCATCCTCTAGGGTGACGTCCGCAGAGGGGTCTGGTCCAGTCTTACCGCACCCTGAAATTAAAAAGTTCCTGTATTTAGCAGTTAACAAGAAGCCTGCGTTATTACATTTGGTCGGAAAAAAGAGAAGCTTGAACCAAAATTGCTTCACCGCGTGGGAAGAGCAATGCGAATGTAACTGGTGCAAAGTGCTCGAGCAGTGTTAAACGTGGAATAAGATGCTCGCAATGTTAAGAGCGGGAAAAGAAGCAACCTGTGTCACTTGCGGAAAAGGATGAAAGTTGGGTTAAAGCGCGGGAAAAGACGGAACCGGCGCCAAGCGCGGAAAACAATGCAGTTCGGGTTAAACGCGGGAAAAGCCGGCACCGGCACCGGCACCAAGGGCGGGAAAAGATGCAAGTAGTGTCCAGCGCGGGAAAAGACAAAACTGGCGCCAAGGGCGGGAAAAGATGCGAGCAGCTTTTTAAGCGCGGGGAAAGATGCAGAACAGAACAAGTATGAGATTCAACCGTGCAGACACTGCGTTTCAACGAATGAATATGCAGCTAAACGTATTGTAGTCATGCAGTCAGTGGCAGGGAAATGTCCTAGTTGCCTGTCGTAATGCACTGTTAGGGCCAAATGTGTAGGTGGATTTCACGTACCTTTAACGCTGTGCTTCCCTTTGGGAGGTTTTGATATGCAGCTGGCCGCAGTCAATTCGTGCCTGTGAGCAAGAAGACAAAGTTTTATTCCAACAAAATGCTTAGATTCTCTCCTATACCCTTTTTAATACCACTGGAAACTTACATATTTCCTAAAGCGACCTCGCACAGCATCATCAGGCCAACGTTGTTAGAGGGTGTGGTTCGGCAGTAGTTTGCTGACTAGAGAAAGAAAGAAAGTAACAATACCAATATAACGTCAAGCCGGAAACGAGAGTAAAACTCGATAGTATCTTSTTTCAGTCGAACACCTTCTAGTATAACCCATGACTGTTTTATTATGCCACATCCACCTTAATTATATGACTCAATGCGCTTAAATCAAAACATGGTGGGTGTCTTTCACTCTCGAAGAACCGAAAACTGGTTTACTGCTCTAAAAACTAGTTTTCCTTTCAAAACTAGACATAATAAAGTATTTTAACGTTACTTACGGGCCTCTACGCCTCTACATCTCTGCCACAAGTGACAGAAGGCCTGGCAATTATTTGATCGACTTCGTTCCAACCGAACGCTTTGAAATAGGACGTGGTATATAGTACCGTTTTTTTCAACAAAGTGGTCATTTGAATTTTTTGTCAATAATCGTCTCTGCAGTTTCCGAAGGAATCCGTATATCCTCGACTATTGCGTGATAAACCGAAACGTCCTAGAGACTTACAACGCGAGTTTGAATAATTTATGATCTTGGGAGATCAATTTGGAATAGTCAAAAAGACAAAAAATTAAATGTGTATAGTTACTCAAGATTATTCCTCACAACTGTACTTACCTTAGACACCATATCTGTCAATAAAAAAAGAAACCCGAAAATAATTTGTTACTTTTTGAAACCTAGAAACAGTCGTTTATTAACTGTACTGCGAGCGTACATTAGAAAGAAAGAAAAAAATGAACGTGAACACAAAAAGCAAACTAAAAGGATACAGAAAATGTTTTGCGGTTTATCCATAAATTTTAAAATTCTGTTTCGTAGTCATAATTGTTTGCTTATTCATCAAGGCCAAAATGTAGAGCATACCTTCCAAGAATCTGTCAAAACAACCAATTAAAACATAGCGATGACGCAGATAGCTAAAATTTGCCTAAAACGACCACGATAACAAGTTTGACACATACCAGCAAAGTAAACGCCTTTTCCAAACATATAACCTGTCTAAAAAAGGGAAAATATGACAAATTAATACAAAGATTTCGGTTGAAAAATCACTCTCAACATTTCTCAAATTTACGCCACCAGATAGGCGTAAGGAGCCTAAGCAAAACTCACCACAGGGGCCTCTGGTGGAGCGATCCTGAGCCCTTGAGATAAAATACCAGCGTAGTTTGTGTTGCGAGACCCGTGCCACAACAAGCGGCGATTGTGAAGTTCCTTGAAAGGCTGGAATCGTTCCTTCTCGCCATGACGATTCACCTTGAAAACCTGACAGAAAAACAAATTGTCTGCTTACATTTCACTTCAAAACAATTCAATGACTTTTTTTTTTTTGGTCCCATACTCGTGACAGACACCTTTTACATTTTTCTTTGAATTCTGAGTTTGAATGAGTTTTAACATGATTTGCATATGTAGAAAAACTCATCCCGTTGAAATTTGTTAGTTGCCATGCGTACACTAGATTATCCTTGCGTCACTTTGGGAAGGAGCGCCGTCTAAATTAAGGTTCTCTTCTCTCTTTCTTTGGTATTTATATTAAGGGAATTCGTACAATTAAGACCTCTTTGAATGAAAGAAATAACAGACAAAAAGAACTTTATATCTAATCGGTTTTTAACTATTGCGCATAAAAATTGCATTAATACGAAGTGAACATTATCTTACTTCCAGTATTTCAAGCTCGTACTGTTGGTGTGTCTCAGCATGAGTATTTTTGACGTATTGGTCAATCAAAGAAAACTCCTTGCTATCTTTAGATAGAACCTGGAAAAAAAAAAAAAAAAAAAAAATTCGATTTATCCTTTAAAATTAAACGACCCAGGGGAACAGATCTTTTGAATATAGTTTCAATGCCGGCGTAACCTTTCTTAAGTTACGCAACTAAATTGCTGCCCTGTCCAAACTAGCATTAGACACTAGCCTACAAAGTCGGCGGTTTTGAGCACGCTTTGAAGCATTTTTTGAAGGAGCCGCCAGCCGGATTGGAACTGAACATACTGACCTCCGCTGCCCGAGTTTGTGGCTCCGCTAACTACAATGTCTTCGAGCGCCCGAGTTAACCTCCCACACTAACTAACGGTGAATGGTAAAGTGATGAACCATTATTTGTTTATATAAAAAAACAAAGAGCTCAAGCCCTCGTGTTTCAGGGATACGAGCATCATGCTCAAGGCTTTGGTGGGAGTGTTGGTTTGGTGGATGGTCGAGGACCATGACACTCAGGGAAACCTTGCGCAAAAACGAGAAATAACTAAATTAAACCACAAGTTAAATCAGTATCGCGAGGAGAACCCCGGGGTTCACAGCGTTGTATGATTGCTCCCTGTTCCGCAAAATATACTTAAGGTATTTTAATTAATTTTTTCACCTCCAAGTCAGTTTGTAATTTTTCGTAATTGACGTCCAAAGGATCCTTGGCCAAGTCACCATCGCCACTCTTTAACAGACTGTAAGCTACCTCAATATCGAGCAAGTTGTCTAACATTCCCACTTTAGCCTTCGGCAAAATTAAGGAAACAACAGTCAGAAGTAACATGATGGAAAGTGAAAGAAAGTTTTGCCTGTCGATTGGGAGGAAAAAGACTGCTTACGGGAACAGCTACTGACGTATCGAGCATTTGAACGGAAGTTATTGTTATTTGCCAGAGTCAAGTTAAGAATTGTTTCACAGTCGAATGTTCAAGACTGGTTCGGAGGAGCTGATTGGCCAGTTTTTTTAACGGCGATGGTGTTGGTTAGTTTTGAGTGGCGCCCCAAGCAACACCTTACCAATTCTGAGGAAAATTGTATCCTTTACCAATATCATTAGTGCGAGGTAAAAGCAAAATTTACAGACACCCTTCCCTTTATCAATGCCACCTCACAAGTTACCTCTCCTATTCCTTGCAACAAGGGTCTTTTGAATCAACGGCGAAATGAGATAGCAAGTGTGAGAAAGCTACGGGTTTGGGGATTCTCAAAAGTACGTTAGACTGTTTTTGATAAATGGCGTTTGCTTCATCTTTTCACATAGGCTTACGCATTCCGTCATTCTTCGGAGCGGAAGAAAAATCTCAAACAAGTGTACGAATTTTTACCTGAATTAGTTCCAAGTTGTCCAAGAGAGGGGGTTTCTTCATACCAAAGTCGTGCGGGATCAGGGTGTAAAATCTATTTGACGCATCCAGGAGAGAATTGCTGCTACCTCCATCTGAAATTAACTAACACGAGATAATCAAAAGATTTGTTAGTGCATGAAACCAACTACTCTATTGAAAACAACATGCCATAATTTGCACCGAGTGCAATCTGGAGAACAACCAGCTGAATCGTCAAATGTCGTTCAATCTTTTAAAACATTAAAGATCTCATCCCAGAATTTCTAAGGCAGAATTGAAATAAAGACGTTCTAAGCAACTGTAAGGGAGCCTTGTCAGCTCATAATGATTTGAGTTATGTTGTTGACGCTGAAATTGACTTCAATGGAAGGAAAAACTTGAAAGCCTGAGGGAAGTTATTCTCTAAGGAAGGCAAATTCCCTTGAAGAGAAACTGAACGGAAACTGGGTGACGATGTAAGGGTTGTAGAAGGTTTCAGTGGATTGTACATCGGGTGAACTTGAAGATTTAATTGAAATTTTCAAGTTAATCTAGGCATCTACATGGGCATCTGCATCTGGGCACTATCAGCGGGAATTAGTCAGTCTTTGATAGTATCTACTTTCACAATAACGCTCTACAGTATATCACTTACTTTCTGCGCCTCTCCCAGAACAGAATACGCACTTTCAATCTGTCTCCTTGTTAGCTTTCCCAGTGGCATTTTCTTCAAATCGATCTGAATGAAAGATTTAAGATTAAAGAAAACTTAGATGTTACATTTGTTACTCGCTACTTTCCAACCTCCGCTAAGACAAATTGTTTGCTCACCGCATTTTACACACAACAATCGTTTTCATACATCTCAGTGCTTACAGTGGTTCCAAATGAAAAGAAAATAATTCCAAGCACAATTAAAATTCTCACTCACTTCAAACTCTACCAGCGTCTTCTTCATAGATTCAATATCGAATATCATTTTCATAAGCTCTTGGACAGGCATAGGTAACAACGATTTACTTCCGGCGGCAATGGTCGTCTTCAACTCCTCGTCATCCTGTACAAAAATGATAAATAAGTACACAAACTCGTCCCCAGGTCTCTCTCGTGGGCGAGACCGAAAAGAGAGATCTGGGTACAAGTTTACACACATACCTGTCCATAATCAATTTCCAATGGGTAAAACTTTTTTGGGCGTTTGACGAAATTCTTTCTATTTAGCCAACTGTTTCCTGCAGGTTAAACAGAAACAACAAGGCAGGGCAAATTTTCATGTTAATATCTAAATATGTACACATGTGGAGAAAAGTTCAGTGTGAAGTAAACCTGTTTTTTCAGCATAGAGTTCCATGAATTTGTCAATGGCTGATCTTGGCGATCCGCAAGGCTGAAAAACACCAATAATTTCAGTTGTCAGTAGAAGAAAGCACATCAGAAAATTTGGGTGACTCTGCGCGACATCCATTGTCCTGGAGATTGTGAAAGAAATACTCGATTAATTTTACAGCCATTCAGTGAGATTTCTGTGGGATACGGAGAACAATAAAGAAGAATTTATACGTTTGGGATAAAAAAACCGAGAAACAGGGCAGAATACAAAAAAAAAGTTGTGATGGAAACGTTTAAACATAGTATATTGACTAGATCGCTAATAAGTTCTCCAACTCATTCCGGTGAGCATTACACCGCAAAAATCAGGGATTTTATTCATGGTGGGGAATCGACTTTTACTTAAGAAAGGAAAAAACCTAACTTGAAGGTTAAAGATCGAAGAGCAGCCCGGAAGTGTTCTAGATTTACTCACAAACATGTGAGTTACAGCAAGAAGTTTGCATGACCTACAACATCATTTCAACTGAGACAAACGACGTGTTCTGACTCGTAAGGAAAATTCAAAGAGTCCAGAGGCTTAGTAGCAAATCCTTGAGTTTCCAAGTGCGAACACTTCATGGAAAGGGCAAAACCGTAACCAAAGCCTCGCAGAAGAAAGCCGCATCTTCATTCCAAACTTGTTACAAATGTTACTCCTAATTCTTTCAGGTTTTGCCACAAGTACCTCTAATTTATTTCCTCCGATAGTTGTTCCAACTCTTCCCCATGACCGAAAAAGATGGCAACTGTAACGTTCAAAGAGATGAAAAGAAAAAAAGAAATTCCATTTAACAAACAGTTTGTTTCCATGTTGCTGAGCGCGCGTCTGTCCAGTAAGAGATCACAATTGTCGTCAAAATGTGTTGAGAACAAAAATATGGCACACGATGCGCGTTCGCAGCCGCGTGAGTCACTGATGTTCTAACCACATTGCCATGTCTTCTGTGCTCACCTACTGAACAGACCCACGGTAAGATAGAGTCTATTTGTGTGATAAATAGCACATTACAACCTAACCAAAGTAAAGCGCACGCTCTGATTGGTCAATTCAGCGTCCACCATGGGTGTACGCTGCTGACGTGAGCAAATGCAAAGACTAGTTTTCCGCGCTATGTATCAATGTTATGTTTTAAAACAAATGGTAAATGCCACAGTGTACACTATTGAGTTATGGATGCACTTGGGAGGTTTGCTAAGCACTCTAGAAGCTAGAGCCGCTCTCGGCTATCACCTCGCGCGACACTTACGCTTCTTTCGTGCTTACCAACCTCACGCGTCCATCCATAACTCAATAGTGTACGCTTTGGTGTTTACCATTTGTTAAATGTTGTTGATGGTTGTTCAAAAAGGATTTGTTCAAATATTATTCGTTTACCCGCCCTTTTGTGGTTTTGCCGCTGGAGACCGCGGGCTTCGGTACTCTCTTTTTCCAGTTGCGGTCATTTTGGTTTTATTATGTTTTGAGCTCGAAATAAATGATTTTATTTGTGACTTCTTCCTGCTTGCTCAACTGTTCTGGTATCAAGAACAATGGTTACCTCATCGATACGTATGTCTTCGAATAGATCGTGAGTAACAACCAATCCAAATGAACGCAAACTTCAGCTCATTAAATATTGCATGACAGAAAATTAATCACTAATCTTCCCAAATTTCGTTAACTTTTAACATGAATCAAAAGGTGTCAAGTTAAGAAGCCGGTGGAATCAAAATTCAGTGGCACGTTATCTGTTCTAAACACATGTTAACGTTTCCTGTGATCTATTTGATCTATTACTAAACACACACACTGCAACATAAAATCTATTTGTTTGAGAGATAGCAAGGACCACTTGTGATAGAACGCTTACACGACTCGGGCAGTCAAAGGGCCAATAACTAAATTCAACCAATCAAAATGCTCTATTGCCGGTCAATATTCTCTAAGTATTGGACCGGGCACTGTCCCCAATGGTCCCGAATGATACCGCACTTGTGTCCCTTTGAACTTCAGTCGTATAATAAATCTCTTATAAACCAAGCTTGCTCGGGACCGTACTGGAAGAATATCGACCCTCGGTCTTTTTTGTACGGACCTCAGTGCGCTCGGTCCGTACTGTCAAGACCTCGGGCCGATATTCTCCCAGTACGGCCCTCGCGCTTGGTTAATAAGATATATTTATAACAGAGGACTTTATCTTGATATAAAACCAAATTCTCCTGACGTGTTTTCGAGGAAATGTATAACACCACGTAGGGAAAACCACCAATTAGATCCAGGTATATGTTCATAAAGTTGTTTACAATATCTTTGAAATTACCGTTGAGATGGTAACTTAAATCCCTATATTTTCCTTCCAAAAAATGATAATAATTTATTAACCCAAAGAAATCAAAAGAAGTATACTCACGCTTTGCCGTTATCAGCTTGTAGAATTTGCAATTTGTAGTAAGAGTTTGTTCCTCTGACAATGTCCACTAGGCCGAGGGTTGCACTGTAAACATTTCCTTTCTCTTCAAGCACATGGCACGTATCCTCCATTTCTAAAACACAGAAATCAGAACGTTTCCACAAGGGATTCCCAACAATTTGAACACGGGATATCTCACATTTCTTGTTATCCTGAACTTGACGTCACCTTATCGGGGGTGAATTGTCGATGATTCGGAAATTTTTATTGGGTGAGAATTAATTGATCTAACACCAAAATCTCGCAGCTAAAATGATAAGAAATGCGTGGTAAACAGCAAGGAGAATGGATACTGGGATCTCGCAGGGGGGAGGGGGAGGGGATTAAACCAAGTATTGAGAGAGGGATGTCTTAGGTGGTGTGAAGGAAGATAGTCTGAAACGGAGACAAGTGGTGAACTATTTCGCGCAACCCTTGAGGAAAGGACCTGCGAAAGATCAGCTTTAGAGAGACATCAAAGATGCTTTTGATCAGAGGGACGGTGAATACCTGACTCTGGGTCTACTGCTGCTCCACCTTTGACGGCAACCTTCATCTTTTTGGCAGCTCCACCACCTGATAAAATTATTTAAAATAACAAGCAATATGAAAGGGAGCCGAGGTCGAAATCGTACTAATGCTAGACAGGGTATCGTAAAGATGTGGGGAATATGGACACGATGGTGAAACGTCTACGCACGCGCGAACGTTGTAATGACGTTGTAATGTGCTTTCAGAATGCTTTCAAAACCAAGTTGTTTCACACGAGTTACGAACAACTGCACGTCAGCAAGTGACGAATCTTCTAATCTAACCCTACTAAATCACTCCTAGCCTTACAGAGAATCCTTCAAATAATAAAAAAGTCAATAAAAGTCATAAAAGGGTATGTACCTTCTGAAGCACTTTTCTTTAACTTTGATTTGGCTTCTGATGGAGGAAGAGAACCATCCACCATACTGTTACCCTTGAAAACAAATCAAATGAAAAATAAAAAAGATAAGTAAAAAATAATTAAACAAATAAAGAGGATTTTCATCAATGATGCATCAAAGTGGTGACTCCAATAACGGTTCACTGTTCTGGGCTCTAATGGGCCATTTTACAGTTGTGTACTTAGTTGCCAAGCCTTTGATTCAGAGTGAGGCTAAAGATGACCTTGTTGTGATAGAGACCTGTATCTAGTTAGCATGATAACAAAGTGATTTACATTTGAAAGGCAGCAAGGTTTGTATCATAACAAGGTCATCTCTGGCCTCACTCCCATTCAAAGGCTTGGCAACCAAGCACACAACTGTAAAATGGACTATTCTT